AATTATGTCCCCACTGGATGCAACAAATGCCTCGTTTATAATCCGTTTTATTGTTTTTGTCTCGTCACTCCGGCCGGACACGGCATCACAGTATGGTGAGGGGCGTAACATTTCCGTCACACACTTGAGGTATTCGGCCAATCACAACGCACTGGATAGCTGGCCAATCAGAGCACACCTCGCTTTTCAGACCGATGAGCTTTGTAAAAATCTACGCGTTTCAGAAAGGCGGGGCATAAAGGAGAAACAATAATGTACAGTATGTGGAAAATAATGTGTTTTTTTAACCTTAAACCGCATAAACACATTGCATTACACCAAATACACAAAATAATGTTCTTTTTAGCAGCATCATATGACCCCTTTAAATTATATTGTGAACTGTCTGTAAATGTGTTATATTGGCCAACAAAAAAAAAAAATCACCTAAATGACAAAAAGCCCTGCTCCCTAGTGGGAGTTTTTTGTAAACTGCATGTCAGCTCAGTGCAGTAACTGACCGGGCACAAACACAGTCTCTCCAGGATGCTGAAGAACCTCCAGCGGTCTGAACTTGGCTGGCCAGGTGGGCTGCTGTGTGCGGGGATAGATGACGCTGAACCAGCTGATGGCCTCGTCCTGCTGGTTCCCCCCGTCCTCTCGTGTCACCTTGATGAGCTCACGAGGTGTGTGGGTGGGGAACAGGCACCAGCGTTTGTGGCCCTGCACCAGAGCGTTCCACGCACTCGTGCCGAGCGGGTCAATGTGGATGCCTGTTCCAGAGCGGGCAGGACCCATCACAATCCACCTACATGAACAGGACAAAATAGCCTGAATGGACTAAACTCTTTCAAAAACATAATGATTACAAAATCATTATAAACATATATTTTCTATAAATCATTATAAAACTAGAAATTCAGATTTTTTTTTCTTTTTCAACAAATGTAATAAATAAGAAAAAAAGAGTATTACATTGAATTTCCTCTTTGGGGAAATCAGTCAACTTTATCTAATTATATTATATTATATCATGTTTTTCCCCTTTTGTAAAAAGTAAAAAAAAATAAGGTAAATGTTTTAAATTATATTATACTGAATAATATAATAATAATGTAAATAAATAATGTAATTTATATTCGACAAATGTGACCCTGGACCACAAAACCAGTCATAAGGGTCAATTTTTTGAAGTAAATTTTCTGAATGAATACGCTTTCCATTGATGTATGGTTTTGTTAGGATGGGACAATATTTGGACGAGATATAACTATTTGAAAATCTGGAATCTGAGGGTGCAAAAAAATCTAAATATTGAGAAAATCATCTTTAAAGTTGTCCAAATGAAGTTCTTAGCAATGCATGTTACTAATCAAAAATTAAGTTTTGATATATTTACGGTAGGAAATTTACTAAGTATCTTCATGGAACATGATCTTTACTTAATATCCTAATGATTTTTGGCATAAAAGAAAAATCGATACTTTTGACCCATACAATGTATTTTTGGCTATTGCTACAAATATACCCCAGCTCCAGGGTCACAAATGTGATTGCAACAAATAAAATGATATTTTTTCCATTTTTCATCAAACGTTACAACTAATTATATCATGCTATAAATTTAGCATTTTCATTCTTTTATTTAATGTTAGGTAATAGCTGCATTTCTAAAACATCTGGTTACCTGTACGGAGGGCGCCGCTTCTCCCCCGCAAACTGAAAGAGGTCGTCCCTAAAGAAAATGGGCACCTGGTAGTCCTCCAGAAGCTTGCGCCGCTTCGCATGTTCACCGAAACTGCTATCAAAGATGTAGAGGGGGCTGTCGTCATGGGTTGACTCCAAATACTCCATGTAGTACTTCATTTTCATCTTGACAGAGTAGCCATCATTGTCCTCGCCGCATTTGAACTTCTGGTTGCGGTATTTGCGCTTGAGGCGCTCCAAGGTCCATTTTTCCCGGGCAGGCCACGAGTCTTGGCAGTTCAGCAGAACGACGGGTTTATACGGTTTCTCAAAACGCTGAATGAACTCCTCTGGACTGAGACGCTGGGTGTCCACTCGCTCCACATTGTCCTGGACAAAGACAGGCAAGTCGTTTTTACTTTCTATGGAGCTTTTTACAATCAGCGTTTCACAGTAGCTTTAAAGAAAGTCATACATTAACCTCAGAGCACTTAAAAGTGAAGTTGAAGGCCAGTGGATGATGATGCTTAGCAGGAAAAGGAACTGGCATGTTCCTGAATGTGACTGAATTTAACCTTCAGATTAAAAGAAAAGCCAGTTTTTGTTTTTTTACAGTAGATCAAGCCACAAACGTCAGGAGATGATCATAAGCATCAAAAAAAGTCAACACTGATGAATAAAAAGTCAACTGCCAGGATTGATGCCAGTGGCGCTTGACATTGAAACCCCAACGACAATATCATCACGGCGATAGGCTTTTTAATGTATTACTATTTGGTCAGCTTCTCAAAGCTACTGTATGACTCTAGAATATAATTCATAAGCGGTACTTAATTTATGGTGTTTTTGTCCATTTTAGAGGTAGACAGTCTACAGAACTACCGTTGTATGGAAACAGCTGCATGAAGACTCTCGTTTGGGACTCTGAGCCAAAATGCACAGACAAGTACATTAAATCCCTAGGTCTCCAAGCCAGATCTACATCCCTTTTGGTTTAGGCATTTAAGAAAAAACTCCATAAACCTAAGGATCCCATGACACTAAAAGAGCAACGGTGCGCTGTTCGCCTTAGACAGGCTCTCTAAGACGACTCAGGTCTCACTGGTCAGATTATGTTTAGCCATTTCATGAAGATTTTCCTGCAGTGGAGCTCTTCACAAGCAAGCACTTACAGGAACCTCACATGCAATGATTCAGATGGATATGAGCTTCAATTACATTTGACAACATCTTTCAGAGCTGATGGGACCTTAATCTGGTTCTAGAGAGGACACACTGATGCCTTTTAGCAGAGGATGTTTAACATTGTCATTAGCTGACCCTCACATCACTCCAAACCTGTTTGTCGTGTGTTTTTTTTCACTGTGGAGCATGATCATTAATGGAGATTGCCATACAGCACTTTATATACAACAGCGACCACATCTGTCAAGCTTCAAAAAGGACAAAAAGCATAATAATAGTAGGCAATATGACTTGAGAAGACTGAAAAGGATTGATGTCAATGGCATCTGCTCACTAAACACCAATGACAATATCGTTGTGTTGACAGGCATTTTTTTGGTCAGTTTCTCAAAGCTATTGTGTGACTTCGGAATATAGTTCGGTCACTCGTAACCGTGAGTGTGTGTGTGTGTGTGTGTGAGTGAGTGAGTGAGTGTGTGAGTGAGTGAGTGAGTGTGAGAGTGAGTGAGTGTGAGAGTGAGTGTGTGAGTGAGTGAGTGTGTGTTTGTGTGAGTGAGTGAGTGAGTGAGTGAGTGAGTGTGTGTGTGTGTGAGTGTGAGAGTGAGTGTGTGTGTGTGTGTGTGTGTGTGTGTGAGTGAGTGAGTGTGTGTGTGTGTGTGAGAGTGAGTGTGTGAGAGAGCGTGCGTTAATGGTGTTTTTGTGCATTTTAGAGGTCAACATTCACAAGAACTACTGTTGTATGAAAAAGAAGCTGCTTTAAGACTCACCAAAATTTCACTTTTTGTGTTCTAAAACAGAAATAACACACAGTTGCTCTCAAAATATTTGTCTCCAAAGTACTTTGGTCTTGAAACTACGAGTGTCTATGGATACAAATATTTAACTAAAATAATTATAATTACAATTAAAATAATTACATTTCAGGATTCCATAACTTTTAACGTTCTTCAAGGTTCCCACTCTCTCTCTCTCTCCCAATTACAACTCAATAAAAGATTTTAAAGCTCAGCTCAACTAGAAAAATCATATTCCTATTTCTTTATTTTAAAAAAAGGCCCCTGGCATTTTAAAATTATATTAACCTTACATTAATTTATTGACTGAAAAACAAAAATCACACTTTTAAACTGGGAAAAACCTGGATGTATGAGGTAGTTCAAGAAGACAGTGTAAGCCAGCTCATTTTAAATCATTGTAAGTTTGCTGAGGCCTCCTCGTTGGTCCGGGGCCCCTGATTGAGAACCACAGTTTTAGAGTGACATGACGGTGCGTATAATATCCCATGGTACTCTGTGATATTGTATATTTATATAATAGAAATATCTCAAATATTCTAAAAACACTTCAGAGCGTGCGTGCGTGTGTGTGTGAGTGTGTGAGTGAGAGAGCGTGCATGCGTGTGTGTGTGTGAGTGAGAGTGTGAGTGAGTGTGTGAGTGAGAGAGCGTGTGTGTGTGTGTGTGAGAGAGTGTGTGTGTGTGTGCG